GGAGAGAGAGAGAGAGAGAGAGAGAGAGAGAGAGAGAGAGAGAGAGAGAGAGAGAGAGAGAGAGAGAGAGAGAGAGAGCGACGCACAGGAGGGCGAGCTGCTTCGACCCAGCCCAGGCTGAGAGGGATATTACAACCATACAACGTCCCAACAGAAAGGCAGAGATACTCGATTAAAAACAAACACCCCCCCCCTAAAAAAAAACCCACTTCCCCTCACAGAAATTAAACTCACGTCTTCTGCGTGCGAGAGCGAAGGGCCTAACGACTACACCACTGACATCGGCACACAAGAATTATGTCGCCACCATCAAAAGCCACAAAGGACAACGACGAGAGCCGTAAGTGGGCATGTAATTTCCATAAACACTGAAACGGTTTTTATAGTACACGAAGTCTCAAGTTCAAACAGCTGTTGGCGACCACAGCCACACCCCCCATGGCCACACGTGTGGTGGTCACACTATTGGTGTGCAGATGACCAGCACGACACGAGGGTCAAAAGTCAAGATAATGACAATAATAAGAGCAACATGATGATTGCCGCTTCGATATGACGCCTTTGTCATGAACAACGGAGACAAGACAAAGACTGTATTTACATGACAATACATGTACCAATAATAATCATTATCATCATCATTATCATCATCATTATCATCCTCATCATCATTATCTTCATCGTCATCATTGTATAAAGCAGATATTAAAACGTTTATGACCTGGTAGTATTTCCAAAAATGTAATCACAAGTTCAACGTTTCGCCCTCAACGGGCTTCATCAGGAACATTGAAAATATAAATGACTAGATTCTAGATCTATACTTACTTTACTTTTACTTTTTCATCCTCTGTTGCCGTTAAGCGTCGAGGGGAGATGCAGTTTTCTATGGTAGGCCAGCTCCGCAGCTCTTTCAGTTGTGATGTTATGTTTTTTAGGGTTTCCTTGACACCCTCGATCCACCTTTTGCGTGGCCTTCCTCTTCCTTTATAGCCTGAGTGCTTGGTGTTGTGGGCTCTCGAGGATGGCTGGTCAGGTGACATGCGTAACAGGCGGCCAAACCATGTTATCCTCTGTCTTTCTATGTAACGCAGGCAGGATTCAGTGCCGATAGCCGCTCTTACTTCTTCATTCCTCTGCCTGTCTCGTCTTGTGATGTTAAGGGTTTTGCGGAGACATTTCATTTCGCATGCGGTGATTTTGCTTTCATGGGTTTTGCTAAAAATCCAGGTCTGGCACTGATAACATAATGTTGGTATGAATATTAAGGTGATAAGCTGTCTCTTTGTGTCAATGGAGATGTTTGGATGAGATAGAAGGGGTGCGAGCTGGTAGGTGACAGCGTTGGCTTTTTGAGTTC